TCAAGTTCAATAAAAATCAAATGAAGATCATTCCCTCCACCCTCTAAACTTTTTATTAACTGCCTTAATACAAAATCATATTGATACGATAGATCTTTCTAGCAAAATATCAAAATGATTCATTAAAATTAACATAATTTTTTTAAGCTTTTACTCCATTACTTTCCCCCAAAGTTTCCTTACATGATTCATAAGGTTGATTCCATAATGATTGGTACAATGTTAAACATCACTTTTATTATTAAATAAATACAGAATTGCTTTGTTCTGATCACTTGATATCCTCTTAGTGATGCAATTAAAGACTAGAAGTACGTAATGTAGAAGAAGAATTATAAAGGTATAAAGAATAAGGAAAGGAGCAAGAGAAGAATTAAGTAGATAAAAGAGAGATGAGAAAAAGGGGAAGAAAGCCAAAGAAAGCCCTATAAGGGAGAACAAAAAACCAAAATAAAACTTCCTTTGTTTCATCACCAATCCTGACAAAATTACAAAACGCTGGTCCTTACAATAGAAATAGGCTTATTAAAATTAACAAAATTACCACTAAACATATATGATAATAATAAATTGTCCTATATTAAATTTAACCCAATAATAATAAACTTAAATGCAAATAAGGCAACAACATGATATTGACAACACAAAACTGTAAATATGAACTAAAAGGTAGACTTGTATTGCATCAATTGGTATCATATACAAATGATTCTATAAAAATATGAAAATACAAAACTAGAACAAAATAAAATTTAGGGTGTGTTTGGGGCAGCTTGTGCGTTTCAGGATAAGCAGCTTATCCTGAAATGCGGCCCGCGGGTCGACCGCGGGGGTCGACCCGCGGCCTACGTTTAGTATAAAAAATTCAAACATGGCAGGCAGCGGTTTCAAAAACGCCGCCGCACTTATAAGCTGCCCCATACGGGCCCTTAACCCACTAACTTTTAATTTAAATATAAACAAAACAACCGGAAGATATTGAAAACACAGATTCAGTAGACCAAACACTTTATCAATATGGTATCAGAGCTAAGAAATTCCACATTCTCGATTCTCATTGATCTTTCATTCCATTAGTTCTCATCACCATAGTGTCCCATTATTGAATTTGTATTAGCAATCCCAACCATATATAAACATACATGTTCTTCTCTACATGCACCTACTGAAGCCCAATTTCCTAATGTTTCCATACCCTGGTTACATCTATGTTTACATTGTGCTTGCTCAACTCTATCCAGTTCTAACAAAATGAAATTGCTACTAAGAATGCTACCATCATCTCCTTAGCCAACAAAAATAGCATGTGTTGCTTGATAACAAAACAAGTGTGATTGTAGGCTTAATATGTGAGTTGCCGGTAATGCTAGGAAGGTTCAAAAGGCAATACAAAAAGGTTTATAAAGATCAGGTCATATGGCAAAGCAGTGCTGGCAAGTAAAATACATTATCTTGAAATGTGAGCCCCATTTTTAAGACTTGGATGAGTAACACTTGAGATACTCTTAAGTTATGTGTTTTAGAGTGTCCATATAAGCAAATCGCTTATGCATATTTTCAAAATCTTGTATGTAGGGCTGTCAATTTGGCTCGTTGTTTGTGAAC